TTCTTTAACTTCCAACCATCAGATGCTATCTGGAAGAACATGGCATCTCGAATTTTGGCCTCGGACTCAGCCTTTAGTTCCTCGTACTTAGCATCTAATCTCGAACCAAAGAATTCTCTTCGAGAAATTGAAGGCAACCCAACTTGGTTGAGGAATGCCTTGAATTTAGGGTGCTGAAGATTTGAGATTGATACTGACCCACAACACTCATAAACCCAATCAGCAAGATAATCCAGAGCAGCATCAATTTGGGATTTGCTTAATGCTGGAGTAGTTTCTGCTTTGGGACTCTTTAGTCTCTTTACACTATCCTTTAACATTGCTAGAGGTCCCAAATCTTCCTTACCACCTGACAATACTAATTGGTGTTGTTGCTGAGCATACAACACACCGCCACCGCCGCCACCAAGACCACTACCACTACTACCACCACCACCACCACCACCACCACGAGGACTTGCACTAGCAGATGCAACAACACTAGTACTGGCTACTGAAATTACAGGTGGATAAGCTAACTCCAATGCAAATCTTGAAGGATCAACAATGGCCAATGGGGGAACATTGTGAGGCGTTAATGTAGTAATAATGCCGACAGAGGCCCCACCGCCGCCGCCGCCGCCGCCTCCACCCTCACTACGACTACCACCAGAAGAACTACGCTTCCGGTGGTGGCTGTGGGGTTGCTGAGGAGAAGAAGTATTAGTACTTGGCCCCACACTAGCCACCGAGACTGAAGAAGATGAAGGCACAGATGAAATAGGCTTAGGAGCTGAAGCGAAATTCGGGCAAGTCCCTCTTTTGAGATGTTCAGTGGCGGTTCTCGACGGGTTAGAGGCGGAGAAAACGGCGTTGCACAAGGAACACCGCAGCTTCACCGCCTTTGCTAAGCCTGTATCGGAATGGTGCACAAGAATTGGCTCAAAGTACGCCCAATACCAAGCTCCTTTGCCCTTAACAGCCCTGGTCCGTACAGTCACTAAGCCCTCATATCTCTTATGCATCGCCTTGGCAGCAAGTTCTTCCGAGGATAACGCCACCGCAACGGAGGCGGATTCCACCACTGATGTGGTGGCCGTGTTAGGTGCAGCCATTATAATCAAAATTCCAAGTCGCAACTACTGTGCACTAATCAATGTACTACTTTCTTGTTTCAACTAGACAGTGCTTTTTTTATATGATTGTGTATTATGGGAATTTGGTGGTTTTAATTTTGAGTGTTGTTGGGACATGTGTCAAAGATTAGACAAGACATAGGATTTGGTGCATTTAGCCGGAGTGCGATGGCGGGCGCAGCCGTGCTGGGGTGCCATGGAGGACTCCGGCGGAGAATCTTGGAGGTGGGCGTGTTGATTATTGCTAAGAAAGTTTTGGGCTTTGAGGTGTGACTGTAGTGAAGCTTCACAGGGCCATAGAGAGACAGTCAACAATGGAGTTAGTGTAGAGAGAGAGTACGGTGGTGGCGAGTGGCGAGTTTGGGTGGTTGTAAGAGAAGTGTGTTTGGCAAAATGCAAACACGCGCCACTGTGTTCACGAGTATATTGAAGGTTCTAAGCACCTCACTAATTTCAAGGATAAATCTACTTGAACAATCATTTTGTACCAAAAAAATGTGTTAGTGAAAAAAAAAATTATTTTTAAAATCATCTAATTATTGTCCACAATATTATCAAAATATTGCACATCAAGCGTAATTCAACCAATAGATAGATCAGTACTTGTACATTAAAATTACTGAGGTAAGATTCATCCTAATCAATTAGAAATGGCAGCAGAACACGATAGCCATCCTTGTCCGGGATAAGACAAGGTAAACATTCACTCCGTTAAATAAAGATATAATTCTTTTCATTTTCACATAAATTAAGAAAATGTAATTAGAATAGCTGAAAATATAATTTTTTTTATATTTTTTTTAATATGTCCCTACATTAAATAATAATTTATATAGGAGTAGTTAATAATTTTTGATAAGAAAATTCATTAAATAAGGGCGCGTTAGAAAATTAAAGAATCAATTATACTCACAATAAAGAGATTGATCTATAATTTGGGGCAAATAAAAAGGAAAGAATCTTATTTTTATGGGACGAATGGAGTATTATAATTAATTTCATAGTTACTGTCTCATTTAATTAATTAATTAAATTTTAAATATGATTTAAACATAAAAATGAAATGGAAAGATTCGCGGCGCACTTATATTCCCAATCCCTATCGTGTTTACTATCGGGACGAGCAATGGGGGATGGGTATGGGATAGGAAATTTTGTTATCTTAGGTTAAATAGCTATTCAAATGTTGAATGGTTCGACATACTATTTGGATCCGACATCAACCGAATTATGAAAAGAATTCTTTTGAAACAAAAACACATTACCTACCAAAGCCACGAAAATATTTCTTTTTGGGGTAATTGGTATAAAACGTTCATACCTTTCAAGTTTATTGTGGAAAACGTCCACACCATTCATTTTTGGCATTTTTACCCTTATATTTCAATTGTCTTTGCACTGGACGTCATTTTCACCAATTTTTAACGTAAAATGATCAATATACCCTCCTATTCAAATAAAACAAAAAAATAAAGGAAAAATAAAGAATAAATTACAACTATAGGCCTAAACTTTTTAAAAAGTGCAAATTAGTCCAAATAAATTATTAAAAAAAAACTCTCTTTTTCTCTCTCCTCTTCTCCTCCTCCCCTCCTCCATCTAACTATGATTTTCACCACATTTTGGCCACCGTGACCACCTGACCATAGTACCAACTTGAAGCCAACACTGTTGTCTACACAAACCTACCCAACAGTTGGCCCTAACTCTAGGTGCATTGGTCGGAATTTCTTTCCAAAATTTGCCAGTCGCACAAACCAAAGCTGTCGGTAGCTCCCTTTCCGACGACTCCCAACCCAAGCCCAACATATTGGTAGATTCCCCTCATCATGACTCATCAAACCATGGTCTCCAAACACCTACTCAACCACCCAATCAACATCTGAAGCCAAACATTTTGAACGCAGCCATCACACAGGTTTTACGCAAAATTCCAGTGACTGTGGTGGACATCATGATCGCGGACCACCATATTCAACACCTTCTCATCATGGTGAAGCTATTACAACTATGGTTCATCAACAATTTTGCACGAATCACGCAATCGATTTTGGGATAGTTCGAAGCATACGGGTTTAGATCCCCTTTCAATTGAGCAGTATTTGTATCAAATTTCTATCATAAGTGTTCGGAATTGATGGCAGTAGTTTGTGATGTGAGCTCTGGTGGTTTTGGCGGCAACTATGGTGGTGGTGGTAGAGGAAGCGTGACGAATGAGAGGTGAAGAGGATTGAGAAAGATTTTTTTTATTTGTTATTTTTAATATTTTAATAGTTTATTTGGACTAATTTGCACTTTTAAAAAGTTTGGGCCCATAGTTGCAATTTATTTTTTATTTTTTATTATTTAAATTAGGAGGGTATATTGGTCATTTTATGTTAAAAATTGGTGAATAGGACGTCCAGCGCAAAGAAATGTGAAAGGTAGAGACAAAAATGTCAAAAAATGAAAGATATGGACGTTTTCCACAATAAACTTGAAAAGATAGGGACGTTTTGTGCCAATTACCCTTTCTTTTTGTTATAATGATAAATGCCAAACGGGTCTAGACATTTTTTATTTGCTAGGTCATGTTATAGTAGTCTAATTACCCTAGCTATAACATTGAATCTTACCTGAATTCTAAAAACATTGAACTCTTCCCTTTTCCTTCAGTAAAAAAGTGTGATGTAGCCCGATTTGGTTCTCATTAATTTTGATTATAATGGAGGAATAGTGTTATTTTTCAAAAATGGATGGTTGTAAAAGAATGAAAAGTTTTCGATGTACATGTAATATTATTTTATTGAACATTATGTGTTTGAAAATAGGAAAGAGAGAATTTTAATTTAATTTGATGAGATTTAATGGGGGCCAAATGGGAGCGTAATTGTTTATTGTTACGTAAATTGTTGGGAAAATTTTTCTTAAAATTTGCCAAAATTAAAAAGACTAATATTTAGAAAAGAAAATTTAGGGTGATCAAATTATCTCATGCCCTGGATTCTCTCTCTTATGATACTTGTCACTTGAGACGAGAGTGAGAGATTTTATATAAGTACAATAATTCTCTCTCTTTAAGAATATGTAATTTTTTCTTCTATATTCTTATAATATATTATTTTTTCTCCAAACAAATGTCTCACGGGCAAATTGAGAGAATAATTTCAATTCTCAATAGTAGTATCGAATCATCAAGTCATTCTAAATGTTGAAGAATGGAGAAGAGATGTCAATGTTCAAATACGATATGGAGGTATTTGATGGGACGATCAATTTTATTTTTTAGAAAATACAAGTCAATAATGTGTTAATTCCATTTGAATTATACAAGTATTTGAAAAAAAAAATGGAAGAAGAGGAAGAAGAAGAAGAAAGAAAGACTAACCCATGTGTTTTGTAATGTATAGATAACCTAATCACATCAAGAAAAAATGTTCAAAAGGTGAAGCAAACTTTGCCAACTTTTCAAAGTTGGATAATGCCGCTAATTGTGTGCCTCTTTAAGAGAGACAATTATATCAATTGAAAAAGAAGATAAGTAGATTCTCACAACATGCCACTAGTTTTCAAAAGTTTGGCACGTGCATTGGTTTGATATTGATACAAGGTGTGGTGAAATTTATGTCGATGGCTTGACAAATTTTTGGGAAACCTAAACGTCATTGCACATAATTTTCTACAAATTAGTACATCGCAAAAGTCATAAATATTTTACTCTAAATGGGAATCATATTTATGATGGAGAATGTTAATTCTTGTTTTTGAAAATTGTGATTGTCAATGCTTATCAATTCTTTTAAAGTATCATAATTAAGAGGAGTTGCACAAGAGAGCCTAGAGTTTGGCTTGTTTTCGTCAAGAATAATACTATATAATATCAGTGGAGTTAGAGCACCGGTTTATGTTACATTATGTGATAAATACAATTAAAGGTAAAATTATATGATTTATTTAATTGTACATTTCAATTAAAGGTAAGATTATATTGTTAAATAAACAAGTGTTGTAACACGAGTGATGTTAAATAGCATTATTCTTCAGTGAAACGTGGAAACTGTTGGAAAAGTTGTTAAATAACAAGCCAAAAGAAAAATGGCAGGAATTGTAATTAAAGGAAAAAGAAATTAGTATATTTACCCTTCTCAGTGGACCGTTCCTTTTGGATACTAGAAGAAAATAATGGTATGCAAATTTAAATCGCTTTGGGCAGCCGAGTTATGGAAGATAAAGTAGGTCAAATTTGGTCACGTAAATTGAAGTGATTTGTTCTTATATTTAGTACGTAATTAAAATTTTTGAGAGGAAAAATAATAGGCTTAGCATTTAAGGACTTTTTACAGTAAAAGAATACAAGTGTGGTAAAATTCAGGTTACTTTTCACATTTTTTAAGGTATGTGTGAACTAGAGATTATTTATAATTGTAACAATTTTTTATATAGTAGAAGATCTGTCTCTAATTGACCATAATTTTTCTCCATCTTTTGTATTTTTTTTGTATTTTTGTTAGATATCATATGAACAAATCGAATAATTAATCTAAATTCTTAACATAGATTGTCACTATAATTTAGCGGAGATATTTTTCAAGAATAATTTATTTTAACCTAAGAGTGTGAATCCATTGGTTCGAAGCATCTCAAAGGATGGATGTGAAGGTGACAAAGCACGTACATCTACAAGATCAAATCCATTTAGATCGAATTTGAGACAATTAAACGGGTTGGGTACAAATAAAAATAGGATTTTTAGTAAAATGTGAGTTGGAATTATTAGGATTTTCTAATCTTGAATGATCTCTTACTTACAATAAAATCATTATTGTAAATTACTCTGTTTTGACGTAAGAATTTAACATTATAAAACAAATAATATACATTCTTCTCATTGAAAATCAACTCATTCTTAGACAATAGAAAGTCGATACTTGTCTTTTAAACGGTCAAAGTGTTGCACTTTTTTTGAATCGTTAATATTTTTTCAAAATATATAGGAATAG